GAAGATAGATAGATAGAAAATAGATAGATATATAGATAGATAGATAGATAGATAGATAGATAGATAGATAGATAGATAGATAGATAGATAGATAGATAGATAGATAGATAGATAGATAGATAGATAGATAGATAGATAGACTGTTTATTTGGGTGAACTTGTGCTCGGTAAACGGGAAGTCGGATCACAGTAGCAGACCTGCACTGGTAGCGGCGAACGGATTGTCAGCTGTCGATACTCCGAGATAGCGGTGACGTAGGCTCCAGAATAATCTGTATTGGTCGCAGAGTGGGCGTGCTCTTATAAAAAAGACCTACTACAGTCCTGAAGATTCTCGAAGACTGCAGGCGTGGTTTGCGCTGAGAAATACGTAGTGTCTTGAGGCGATAAGAAAACTTGTGAAAAGGAACTTGGCACGCGCATGAAACGGCTTGAGGTGCACGACATGGACGACTTCAGGTCGCGATCGGCGTCATCGAAAGTTCGTGATGCCGTCGGGGACAACCTCTTAATCGAGTAGGCCGAGGCGTCGAACCACCCTGTACGGTCCGAAGTACGGTCACAGAAGCTTTTCACTGAGGCCCCGTCGGCGTGTTAGCGTGCACACCCAAACACGTTCACCGGGTTGGTATTCCAAGAAGCGTCGTCGAAGATTGTGACGGCGGCTGTAGGTCATCTGTTGGCTCTTGATACAGAGGCGCGCGAGCTGTCAGGCTTCAGCGTGCTGAACGTACTCACCAGCATCGAGGTTTTCTTCGTCGGTGACGTTGGGTAACATGGCGTCGAGCGTCGTGGCCAGACTCCTTCAGTAAACCAAGTATGGAGATATCTGCGTGGTCTCCTGCACCGCTGTGTTGTATGCGATGGTCACGTACGGAAGAATGGCGTCCCACGTCTTGTGTTCGACATCGAGGTACATTGCGAGCAAGTCGGGGATGATCTTGTTTTGCCGCTCGGCGAGGCCGTTGGTCTTTTGGTGGTACGCTGTCATCTGATGGTGGCTTGTCTGGCTGTATTTCAAGATCACTTGAGTTAAGTCAGCAGTAAATGCCGTTCCTTACTTAGTCGGTGATGAGGACCTCTAGGGTGCCATGACGTAAGACGATGTTTTCGACGAAAAGCTTAGCTCCCTCAGATGCCGTGCCTTCGGGCAGCACTTTTGTCTCAGCGTAGGGGGTGAGCTAGTTGGTAGCTACCACGATTTACTTATTTCCGAAAGTCGACGTCGGGAACGGCCCCAGTAGGTCCGTATTGATCTGCTGGAACGGTTGGCGAAGTGGTTCAATGGGCTGCAAAAATCCCGCTGGTCTCTTCGTTTGTTCTTGCGTCGCTGGCAATGCCGGCATGTCCTCACATAACGAGTCACATCGGTGGTAAGACGTCGCCAGTAGTACCTTTCTTGTATCCTCGCGAGCGTGCGGGGAACACCGAGGTGCCCTGCCGTTGGATCGTCGTGCAGGGCCTGCAAAATTTCTGGTCGCAGTGCTCAAGGTACCTCAACAAGGTACTTGGCTTGAAGCGGGGAGAAGTTTTTCTTTTGGAGAAGACCGTTCCACAGGAAGAACGACGCAAGTGCGCGCTTGAATACCATCAGAACTTCGGTGGTCCTGCATTCGAGGTATTCTAATAGGGCCCCAACCTCCGGCTCGGCCCGCTGTCGTTCAGCAGAGTCGTCGGCAGTTATCGTTCCCAAGAAGTGTCATCCGGGTAGTCGGGCGGTGGTGGGTCGACAGGCGCATGAGAGAGACAGTCGATGCCAGAGTGTTTGTTGCCGGACTTGTAAACGACAGTAATCTCAATTCTTAAAGTATCAGGCTCCATCGTGCGAGGCGACCTGAAGGGTCCTTCAAGGTAGCTAGCCAACACAAAGCGTGGTGGTCGCTCACAACTTTGAAGGGCCTGCCGGAGAGGTGGGGTTGAAATTTCGACGTAGCCCAGATGATGGCGAGGCACTTCTTATCTGTTGTGGAATAATTGACTTCGGCTTTGAATAACGATCGGCTGGCGTAACTAATAACCCTTTCCAGTCTATCAGCCCTCTGCACAAGAATGGCGGCGAGAGCTAAGCTGCTTGCATCAGTGTGTATTTCTGTCTCGGCTAGTTCATCGAAATGGGCAAGTACCGGAGGCATCTGGATGCATTGTTTTAGCTCCCTAAAAGCGTCTTCTCATGGGTTTTCTCACTTGAACTCCATGTCGGCCCTGGTAAGGTTAGTGTGTGGATCGGCGATGCGGGCGAACTTTTTGACAAACTGCCTATAATAGGCGCATAGGTCCAGAAATCAGCGCACTGCCTTTTTGTCAGTGGGCGGTGGGATGTCGGCGACAGCGGCTGTCTTCTGCGGATCAGGACACACTCCAGGCTGACGGATCACGTTTCCCAGGAATAAGAGCTCATCATACGCAAGTCTGCACTTTTATGGCTTCAGGATAAGTCCGGACGTCTTGATGGCTTGAAGTACAGCTTCAGGGCACTGAAGATGCTCGTCAAAACTCCAGTAAAACACGACTACTTCCTCTAAGTACACAAGGCAAGTCTGCCAGTTCAATCCTGCGAGTAATTTATTCCTAACGCGTTGAAAAGTGGCAGGCTCCAAGCAAACACCGAAGTGCATCACCTTAAACTTGAAGAGGCCGTCCGGTGTTATAAACGCTGTCTTCTCTCGGTCTTTCGTCGACTTTGATTTGCCTATACCCAGTCTTAAGGTACAACGGTGAAAAGTACTTCGCGTTATGGAGCAAATACAGTGCGTCGTCTATTCATGGGAGAGGATACACGTCTTTTTTGTGATTTTGTTGAGGTGGCGATAATCGACACAGAAACGTTAGGTTCCATCCTACTTCACTAACAAAACGGGTGACGCCCATAGACTTTTGGACGGCTTGATAATGTCATCCCGTTGCATTTTATCAACTTGTACCTTTACGGCCTCGAGTTCTCGTGTCGAAACCCTGTACGGGCTTTGACGAAGTTGTCTGGCATTTTTTCGGTTTTAAGGGATGTTTTGCGATTGAGGTCTGCCGAATTTTTGACGACGATGAAAAGCAATCTTCGTATTGGAGGAGCAGGGTCTTGAGCTTGTTGTTCGGCAGGCTGGGATTGACGTCGAAAGCTGAGGGAGGGACTTGGTTCCTTTGAACAGGTCCTGCAGAATTGGCGAGGGCGAAATCACGGGTGGCTTCCACAGTTTCTTCGATGTATGTGACCATCGTTCTTTTGTTGACGTGTTTGTCCTTATTGCTGAAATTCGTGAGCATAACCATTGCTTCGCCTTCCCGTAGCTCTGCAATTCTTCTTGCGACACAAATATTGCGGGTCACCAACAGCTGCTAACTGCCTTCCACGATTCCTTCCAAGTCAGGTGATTTCGGAGCGAAAACTGAAATAATGACGCTGTAGCGAGGTGGAGCGGTGACTTGTTCTAGCACATTCAAGGCGTGATTCTCTGGCGGTGCGCGCGGTGGTAGTGCTTCTTCTGTGGACAACGTTATCGACATCGTTCTTAGGTTGATGACTGCATCATGGAGGCATAAGAGGTCCATGCCAAGGATGACATCTCTGCAGCGATGCTGTAGGACTACGAAGTCAACAGGATAAATACGGCCGTTATTGGTTACTCTCGCTGTGCAGATTTTTGCTGGTGTTACTAGATGACCTCCAGCTGTGAGGATTTCGGGGCCTTCCCAAGCTGTCCTAACTTTCTTCAACATCGCGGCGAACAACCCACTGATGACAGAATAGTCAGCCCCAGTATCGATGAGAGCGGTCACACAGTGGTCATCGATAGGAACGTCGAGGTCAATAGTGTGCCGTCTCACGTTGCAGTTAGGCCGTGGCGTCGGGTCACGGCTGCGTAGGCATGTTCTTTTGCTTCGATTTTGCGTCGTAAGATCACCTTCTGTAAGTGAGGTTTCATCATCAAGAGTTTGCCTGGTTGGCGTCGCGTTCGGAAAGCTCCATCGCGGCATCATCGTCATCGGAGGATCTTAGGTATCTTCATCGGTTGCTGCCCTTATTTTCCCAGATACGGGCTAGGAGACAGGCCCCGTGTTGGGCCAGAGTACTGCCGGTGGTGCGGTGACATGCGGCTTCTAAGTGACGGTGAATGGGAAGGACTTCGTGGTGTCCATTGCGTTCGTGCCAGGTAGTCGGCGATGTCTCGTGGTCGTTCCCCTGGCTGCGGACCTAGTGCATTGACGGCGAAGCCAAGCAGTCCAATCTGTCGGTAATGGCAGCAGCCGTACGTGTGCCCGGATTCACCGCAGGTGTAGCACAGTGGGCGGTAGTCAGGGGTGCGCCAGACGTCAGTCTTTTTGGAAGGCTAGCACTGGCCGGCCGGCGGGCAGTATGGCGTTGGTGGTGGGGGCCGTGGTGCCTGGCGGAAGTACTGCGGCGGGACAGTGTCCTGATGGGGGTGTGGAGGAGCGTTGCGGCACACTGCAAAGGCGTAGCTCATTGCTTCTGGTTCAGGCAGCAGTGCTTCTGCAATTCCAAGCGACTGCCGAACTTCTTCGAAGACAATGTGGGCGATCGAATTAGCTTGAGGCTGCGTTGAAGGTAATATTTTTCTCAGCTTCTCCCGTACGATCGCTTGAATCATCTCGCGCAGGTCGTCGGTACTGAAGGCATAGGCGCAGTTGACTGAGATGCGGCAATCGTATTGCGTTTTGCGCATTTCAAGCGCCTTTTATATAGTAGTGGCCTCGGTTGGAAACTCGCGGACAGTCTTTGGCGGGTTGCGGACAAGCCCCGCAAGTACATCGTGCTTGACTCTATGCATCAGGAACCGGAGCTTCTTTTCCTTAGCCATGGTGAAGTCGGCGTGTCGAAAGAGTTAGGGTATCTCTTCGACGAAGAGGGTAACGCTTTCATTAGGGAGTTGCATCTTTGTCTCCAACAATGTGGTGGCCCTTTCCTTGTGGACGACGCTCTTGAACGTGCTCAGGAACGTCGTATGAAAGAGTTCCTAGGTTCGTAGCGTGCATTCGTTGTTTTCGAACTACGTCTTCACAGTGTCTTCTAAGTAGAAATAGACGTGGCGTGATTTTTCTTTGGAGTCCCAGCTGTTCAAGGCGGCGACTCGGTCGTATATTTTGATCCAGCTTTCCAGGTCCTCGCCTGACGATCCATGGAAAGTTGGAGGTTCTTTGGGCTGCCGGAGAACGACTGGGGCGGGCTGCACGGGGGCGGCCATGGTTGCTGCAGTTGATGTCGGGATCCGGGGCTGCCTGGCTATTTCAGGAAGGGGTCTGTACTCTGCTTGCAGTCCCCTCTGCCTGCGGCTTGTTCGCTGTTCAGGGTTGGCGTCCGTGTGTTTTTGTTTCTTGCCGCTTGCGCTGGGTTGATGTCCGGAACATCAAAAAAGCAGCACCTCCACCAGATTTCATAGAGTCGTGACGTCCACAAACAAGCAGACAGTACGATGAAGGTTAAACTGTTTCTTTGGGCGAACTTGTGCCCGGTAAACGGAAAGTTGGATCACAGTAGCAGACCTGCACAGATAGCAGCGAACAGATCGTCAGCCGTCGATCAACTGACAAGCGGCGAAGCGTGTCGGCATTTATACACTTGCCATCGAATGTCCTAGCTTTATAGCTTGCGGTGACGTAGGCTCCAGAATAATCTGTATAGTTCGCAGATTGGGCATTGTTATGATCGGCCTGCTTGTCTTTACGCAGCTTTACCGCACGAGACATTGTGGCTGGGCCTACCCTGATTTCTTCCAAGTCAGCGCTCCCAGAGATGCACCAAGAGCGGTGACAACACAGAAATCATTCTTAAGGTTATCGCAGGTCGTCGGCGCTCCTCGTAAACCCTTTGGACACGCCTGACCAACTGACGGATTTGGAAGATTAGTTGGCCGTCGAGGCGGCTTGCTTTGTCGTCTAGGTGCCCCGGGCAAAGGAACCTGCGTCTCAGAACCATCTGTGAATGCCTTTCCCACGTTCTCCGTGGCGCCTTGGTGCCACTGTTTCCACAATTTGTGCTCTGCCTGGCGCCACATACCTATCACTGCAACAGACTAAGAAATTAACCTCTACGTAAGGCCCAACGTGTTCGTTCTGTGCTGTGTCATGCGTGGCGTGCAGTGTTTTCTCCCTCGCCATGGACCATGAAGGTGGTGTTTCACCTTCCCCTTTCGAGGGCGAAGGCTAATATGGCAATTTTCATTGGACTGTCTTGGTCTCTATTGTTTTTCATGAATGAAATCCTGGGAATGCCAGGACATAAAACGCGAGCGCCGAGGTGCTCCCGACAAGTTCTCACAAGCTCGCAGAAGCTCCCATCATGCTTCCGTCGAGAGCTTCTATGATGCTGCTATCATCAAGTAATAACACGCTACCTGTGTATATTGTAATAAAAGTTACTGTTAAAACCTCCGGGCTCCTCTCCTCGACATCTCCCCGAGATTCTGGCTGGCTCTGGTCTTATGGGCAGACCCCGAGCCGCAGCAAGCTGCATAGAAGATAAAGAGAAAGAAAAGTTGTTTAAAGGGCCACTCGGCAGGTTTGACAATTTTGAGCTGACAAGCGCAATGCATAGACGAGGCGTTCATGATCACGTCTACCAAACTTTGCAACGCTACGCGCCGCGGAAACGGGTCAAATTTCAATATGAAAGCTGCTCCCCCTCCCCTCTGCCACCGCACGCGTAGAGATTGAGGGCATGTCGTAGGCGTAGGAATGGCCCTACGTACACGGCAATGCAGTGACGTTGGTCCTCTACGCAGACAAGTCTTCTCTGACGTTGTCAACAGTATACCACGTAACATGGCAAAGTTATTTAACACAACATGTATAGTTTATGTATTTGCTGCTTTAAGAGAATAATAAAACTTGAAATAAATAATGAGACGCAATAAAAATTGTGCGCGTTTTTCTTTCATTTTTTACCGTGAACTGCTACGAAATGCTGGGCTAACGTGCCAGCATTTCACATGCGGTAGTGTCCCCACGGTCAGCGCATTGAGCAGACGACCACCGTGGAATGCTCTTACGCATTCGCGCACTCATTGTGCTCATCTACTCTACCGCGTCTAAACCAGCGTTTCTAAACACCCCACAGAACCAGGCAGAATACCACAAAATAACACTGGTCAACAAAGCAACGCTGCTCTTGTGCTCGGGAGTTGGACTTGTTTGGGCACGTCATGCGCATGTCACCTCTTGAGGCCCGTGTACATGAGCCCCTTGTACATGGACGCGACGGTGGCGGGCTGAGTTGAGTGGCGGGTTCAGCTTACCTCGACGCGCCCGAGTTTATATGAACTCGCACGGACGAGTTGAGGTGAGCGGTGATCGCAGCGACGCTTTGCGTCGAGGCGAGCCGAAAGCCCGTCTTCCGGTACCAGTTTCCGCTCCTCCAAGCCAGCGCTCTCGCCTCCCGCCGCTGTGGGCTGCGGTTGTTTACGCAGTTGTCGCTCCGCCACCGCGATGCCTGTCTTGGTATTTTTTCTCAGTTTGCACCAGCTGTACTTTATGGTTGTGTTGGCTAACACTGCACAACGCGATGGCATCAGTGGTTCTGTTGCGGCACAGCGCTCGCCACAGGCGTATCCGCAGCCAGACGCACCGTCCCCTGTTCACCCCTGGCTGCTCTCTCCGGGAATTCGCCGTGATTCATGGTTTGTAACGCCTTTCATTGGTGTACCTGATGCTGTGGAAAATCCTTTGAAGCCCTACACGCGAGTCATTTTTTGCAATAGTTGTGGCTTGTCGCTAATACGAATTAAACGGCGCCCTGAACCTCGTTGAAAATTTTAAATTGAAAACAATAAGCAGTTTTAAATGAAAATGACTAAAGACCCTCATCAACTGTTGGAACAAAGTGTACAGTTCCACCACAATTAAGTGCACCGTGTTCCTCTTGCCTCATACGCTCACCCTGTTTGACTAATCTGATTTCTGTGGCTTTTGTACTGGACAGTGATATCCTTAAACGATAAATTTTTAATCTGAGCGCTTTTGCAATGTACATTTTGAGTAAAATTTCTATTGGCTTACGTAAAAAATCATACGGCCGCATACCATTTTGCCATAATTTTACATCTCTATATCTATTGTGCCTCGTTTATGCTTAAAAATGAAAGTAATTTGCTAATTTTTTATATTTCCTTGCAGGATTGGAGCAAATAACTCAGTTTTTTCTCGTTGACTAAAGCTAGCAACGTCGTTATTTCATCATCTGTCCTCCACATGGTGCGTGGAGCCCGCGAGGATGTCATCGTGCCTAGCGCGCGCGTACCGGCCGACAGAGAAAGAGCAACGTCGGAGTGATGGGGACAGGGGAACCGGAGACCACGACGAGCGGGAGAGGTCACGAGCCGTCAATTCAGCGCGATCGGTTATACATGCCCTTTCTGAGCGCGGCGAGTTCGATGAACCTACCCGCTGTCTCCGGGTCGACTGGACTCGCCGCGACGACTCTCTGCCCCGACGCGTGTGCTTATACATGGGGAGGGCGAGTCCAGATAACCTGTTTATTTCGACTCAACGCGCCCTCGTCGGGTCAATGTAAACGAGCCTATGGTCGGATGCTGGAGAGAGTGGGGAAGAGATGTGGCTTGCGAAGGCTACGCGGAGGAGCGGCAAGGGTTTCGAGCTCGCCTCCTCTCACTCTCGTTTCACGCCGCATCAAAAAACCTGTTTTCTCCGCTCGTAACGAACCGTTTCGAAAAATTTTTGTGGCTAAACGTTCCTCATCAGACATTAAACAACTTTCACTGTCTAACTAAAATTCGGTATGGGGCATAGTGAGTGGCCCTTTAAGGTCAAGAAGCCAGTCGTATGCCTTCGTTGCAAAGAGCCTGGTCACATTGCGGTCAGCTGTCGAAAGCCTAGGAGTGTTCTCTTTTCAACGGACAGCAGCGATAGTAATCAGGAGCAAATAAAACCCCACATGGAGGACTCAGTTTTGGAGATATCGTTGTGTAACGTACCGCAGGAGTCAGCCGCAACGTTTCATGGTGTAGACCCCTACTCTTAGGAAAATTAGATTACCACAGGGGAACACGTGTGTGGGCGGCAAATAGTTGAAAATAAAAGTGTGTGTTTGCCATTAGCCAGCGTTTAGAAAGAGGGACCGGTCATACTGCCCACCACAGAATCTGTGGTGTCACAAAACCTTCCCGAGCATTATACCTTTCAGAATGACGTGGATATGCTTTTGAAAGGCCTTTATTTTGGTGACAAATTGGCGAGTGCTCTGATGCGTCCGATGGCCTGTGAGTCTGCTCATGAGATTTTCGAAGCAAAAAGTGCCAATGAAGTAGACTGTAAAAGTCCCGATGATGAGGCGCTTAGATTATCAGGAGAGGGAGAGACGCTTAACATAGCGCGAGGTGATGACTCTCGTCAAGGAGAGACATCTGATGGTGAGCCGGCTGGCTTAGAAAGAGTCAATTGTACCGGCATTCGGTCATTTCGAAAGTGCAGACAGTTAGAAATAACGCCGAGGATAAGCCAGTTGAGCCGTATGGAGTTTTGAGCAATGTACTTCGGATTAATATTGCCGAGTCAGTGAGCGTTCCGTACCACCCCGAAAGAAAAGGGCGCCGGCGAAAACGTAGAGGGAACACGAAGCGTCAGTATTGCTTCGAGTAGAGGCTGGAAATCCCCAGAAAACTGGCTAGAAGTAAAAAGTGGAGGGTCTTGCAGAAAGCGAGATTCGGCATAAAGCGTGTCGCAAAGGTAAAGAAACTCAGACGTCGAGGTGGCCGCCTGGTCTCATCGCCTTCAGCGCACAATACACAGCCGAGCAGAACAACGAGGTGCGTTCATGGGAATGACCAAAGTCATCCCACTCCACGACAAACGCGTAACCGCTTGACTGGGAGGCAAACAAGGAACCTACCAGACTATCGGTATGTTTTTGTATGGAAGTTTGGGGACCGCGGAACAAAGGTTGCCGCCACTCACTGCTTTGGTAGTTTCGGACAGGCTGGCTGTTTGTCCCTCCATTGTGATATGGCGGGTCGAAAACTGCGGTATGATCGTCCACCCAGAGCCCGTCTGAAAGGGTTCCCCATGATGTTTCGGACAGTGTAAGGATGCCAAGGATTTCTCATGTATCCGGTTTTGAATTGTTTTACTGTTAACGTTTGCATGTCTGCCGATGAGCAAGGAGTATGCCGATTTTCGAAAGTTTTATTTTCCTCCCCATCTTAACAGCAGACATTGCGAGATTTATTAGTTTGCTTACATTTAGCGACACCGAACACCCGAGTAAAGGGTTTCGTGCAAGTTGATATTAACTGAGAAGTAGGCTGAAGGTAAAAGCCTCTGTGCAGGCCTTCTGTTCTTGCAATATGGTGTAGGTTTTTTTATTTTTTATTTTT